TGTGGCCCAAAGGCCAGCTTAGGAGTACCCTAATTAAGTGAATAACAATGTACCTACCTATATAGTTTAAGTTTAAAAAATTTGGCTCTCAAAAGAAATTTCAATCGTTGTACTGTTGATATTTGGCTCTGTTGACTAATGAGTTTGCCGACCACTGGGATAGATAAATAATCAACAATTACTGAAAAATCCATCAGTTTGCCTTTTCAAACGACGGTCACCATCCTCTGTTTAACACGATGGATGTCCCACAGGGCGGGGCTGGAATCCAAGGCACAGGCTGGGCACTGGGTTGAATGGCGCAGCCTCGTCTCTCACTGTTTAAATGTTCTCTACAGTTTCTCCGTGATCGGAGTTCGAATTCGGAAGTCTGGGTGAGCAGGGAGCAGACCCCATCTCAAAAGAGATCGTCCTGCGGAGATTGCTATTGTCCTACAACAACTAAACAATGACATCGCTCACCATTTCAAAGGCAGATAATCACGAGGAGATCACCCGGCTCTGCTCACAACCTTCCCTGGGCGGTTGTCACCATCGATTATTAGAAAAGTAGCAACACCTAAACTACACTAAACTAAGGACATCCATCCCCTGTGAGACAGTATAATCCCCGACCCCTGCGCGCAGAGGAGGCCCCTGCCAGGGGCACCCCGAGGCGGCACGGAGGGCAGGCTGGACACCCCAACCACCGCGCTCCCTTCGATTTTAAAACATGTGGTTCCTTCAAACCGCTTTTGCTTTATAATCCTCAGCTGGATTTCATTGTTGAGACAAATGGTAAAACGTTTCATTATGAAAAGTTCTAGTAGCGTGATCGTGTTTTAGGTGATTAGACACGTTATCTCGCAGCCACGCCCGCGGCACTCCTGGGCTCTCTCCCTGTAGATAAGTCACCTGGACATTCACCGGGCAGCCCTCCCCAGGGCCAGCTCTGCCCCTGACGCTGCCCTGCAGTTACCCGCCGCCGCCACCAGAGGCGCTGTTCCCTGCGCTTCCAGGGGGTGCTAAGGGTCTGAAGGAGGCGCGTGCGCAATCAGACAAGCAGCCCTGGCTAGTGTGGCTCAGTTGGTAGAGCGCCGGCCTGTGGACGGAAGGGTCCCAGGTTCAATTCCCAGTCAGGGCACATGCCTGGGCTGTGGGCTCCATCCCCAATTGGGGGTGTGCAATGATTCTCATTATTGGTGTTCTTTCTCTCTCTCCCTCTCCCTTCTTCTCTGAAATCAATAAAAATATATTTAAAAAACAAACACAAAGAACCAGGCAGAGCGGGTTCCACCTGCAGGTGCGCATCCAGAGGGGCTCAGGGCTGGGCACTGGGAGTCTGGGCAGCAGCAGTGGGTGGTGAGGGGGGGGCTAGACTGTCGCTTCTGAACTGAGACCCAGAGGATCAAACTCAAGAACTGAACGTATCAAGCACCTGCCTATTTCCTCTAAGCAAACCCTCTGGGGAGCAATAAGGCAGGACCGTACTCCACAGTCCCCGGGCCCATTTAGATAGAACGCTGGGCCCCATGGCTCCTCGGTCCCTGTTAAGGAAGGAGGCTGTTCCGTACCTGTCGAAGGTGATTTTGATAGCGTGCCCTGGTTTTGCCTCGACGACCCATTCACAACTGAGAGAGTCTTTGTAGTACCCTGGCCACCCGGGGGGCAGAATGACCCCGCTGGACGCGGTCAGGTGGCCGCCGCACGGGGCTGAAAGGGAGAGGGGTCGCAGGTCATTGACTGCGTGTGGAGTGGACACACGCCC